AAATCGTACATTTTGTTGTTGAATGTTAATTTCAATATAATTTCTTATATTTTAAATAATGATAGTACTTTAATTTAGTACTTTTGTCTTGAATGTAATTTGACAAAATTACTATATATATATAAGAGTAAGTATTACTTTTTTAGTTTTATAATCTTGTAAAAGTACTTATTGCCCGTTGAAGAGTAAATTCATTAAACAATTAGAAAAGCTTGTGGGGGTAAGTATGAAGAAAAGAGGTTGTAGTACAGACAACAAGGTTTTCCCTCAATAAACCGTGAAAGTGGAAATCGTAACAATAAGAAAAGAGCTCCCAGTAGCTTATCGGTGAACACCTTAAACCTTCACTCAGAAAAAAAGTAACGGGCAAAATAATAAGTATGCCACTTTGGTTTATGGTTAATTATTAGGTTTGTTCATTAACCATACATTATTTGTGTTTTTTTGTCAAAACGATTGCAAACAATTGTGTTTTAATTTAATAGGTTAATAATTTAATAGTTCACACAGTCTTTTAATTCAAACTTTCTAGTAGAAGTTGTGCTACAATAGCATAAATCTTCTCCTATTGTAGGAAACGTTTATTCATGATTACAATACTGCCAATTGTATCCTAACACTTATGCTATCTCTTGAAAAAATTACTTGAAGCCTGACTAAAATACATTTTTAATTTTTGACAATTTAGACGTTTCAATTTCTATAGCAATCGTATCATAGGGTATAGTGGCGCACGCGTCCTCACTTTTTATTTTAAAAAAGTAAGTTTCTACTCGTGTATTTTGTGTAATGGTTAGGTTTTTACATACAACTATGCTTAATAAACTGTCCAAACAAGAATGGCGTATATTTAAATGTGCTATCTAAAAATGTTAAAGAACGAGCTGCCATGTTCGGAACTTTTCCCCCTTTGCAAGGTAAAAGTTCCAAATAAAAGGGACAAAAGTCCGAATATACGATACATCAAAACGTTCTCAGAAATAAATTAATAATGTTTACTAGGCTCATACGCATTAAATTAATGTAACATCAGCTTTATTAGTAAATGATTAAAGGTGATACGTAGATTCTAAATGATCATAATCAAGTCCTCAATTGCAAATTATATTCAGAAACAAAATCTCATAATACATTCAAAACATATACTGTATACATTAATTCTCACAGAAATTGCCCTACCTCGTAGGAAGTGCATTTTTCATGCCACAACTCTTAACACGAATCGCATTGGATCCAGCTGGAGGGTTCTCGAATTCCACTTCGCAAGCAGAGCATAGCCCTATCGAACTATTTTCGGTGACAACTTGAGGTATATTATTGTTTCCTCTCTTATTCGTGGAGTTGCAAGGCGATTTCGAATTGGCATTTCCGGGCCGCTTATTCTCTGTGCATGAGGTGACGGTGTTAGCATAGGGCCTTTTTGCTCTCTGCGGACGTTTTCTATTCAATCCTGGCTTTCGGGTGGGCATAATGTCCCATGAGTAACTTTTATCGCGATTCTCTGAAGTTCCACAATTTGTAGAATTGCGTTCCTTAGGGGGTGTGACCTTGCTCAACACAGATGACGATGGTTCCGGTGAGTGGTTTATGATTTGATCACATGACTACGTACTTCAGGATGTTTATTTAATGCCAACTCGTCTGTCAGTGTGCCGGGAGAGGTGGGGCTCTGCAAAGGAAGGAGGTCTTTCTCCCGAAAATTGAATTTGTCGGTGAGTAGTGGTAGGTGATGGCTTGAGGGGCCGTGTGAGCATTTCGTCAACCCCTCCCACTTCACTTGGTAGCATTGTTGGGAACTCGAAGGACCACCGCGTGGGGCATTGCCTGTAAATGTAATACGTATTTACAGAGGAAGTCACTATTACTCTAGGATAATTCAGTAGAAATGAACTGAGTGCAATGAAAAATATGTAATTAATATTAACTAAAAGAATACATCTACATGCAACTGCATTTTCTCTCGAAAATGGTTAAATAATGGTTATAGCTGAAGCCATATGTAGCTAGGAGACCAATTGAAATCGTTGCAATTAACACTTAACATAAAAGAGAATGTAGCTGAAACTACAACACAATTTGTTACTTGTTATACTAGTGCTGTAATAAAAAAAGGCATGACCCACTGTGTGTAGAGGAATCCGTGATGTGAGTTACGCTTGACGGGCAGACGCTTGAAGCCCGAGTCGGCGCGAGATTTGTGTGATTTATTTCAAATACTTCACGATTAAAATGTGGTGTAAAAATGATTTGCTAATTTTTTTATATTTAGAAAGAATCCTTTAGGGACTGTGTATTATTTTTAAGTATATATGTGTAAGTTATTTTTGAAAAGGGGTATTTCCTTATTTTACAGTGTTCACGTGCTTTGTGCATGTATCCCTGACAGGACCTATTTTTATGTGTGTTTTTTATTTGTTTTTTCTTTTCGTTTTTGCTCTTTCATAGAAAGGGGTACCTTGTGATTTCATATTATACCTTGTATGTTGAATTTTAGTCTTGCCTATATATTCGTATTCTAAATTTATTCATTCACCTTCATTATTTCCCCGAGATCATTACTTTTAAGATTCTACAATTTTCTTTCTGATCAATAACAAATATGGGACATAAGCAATTGTAGTGGCCACCCTTCCACGTAGTAAACCACTATGTCATGTGATATGTCCCACCGCCATACAGTGGATGCGGTCTTGGCAGAGCTGGGCCGATGTTTTTTCGCACCAAGAAAAGCGTGCGTGATTTCACACTAGCGGTGAAGGTCGCAATATGGAGTAGCCCCTCCCCCCATCAAAACATCCATTTCGAATTCAGGGGTTCGCAACATCAGGTTTATTGGTGGATATCAGTTTTGGGGAAAATTATGCGTACGATGTAACTAGTAGAGTTCACGAAAAGATGGGCGGGCCCACCTTCCGCTGGAAACCAATTTTTCGTTACAAAGGAGCCACAAAATGTTGTGCTACACAACGTGTTAGAAGTAATTTACCACTTACTCAAGACCACGATTTATCCGCTTTCTCGTTGTTATCTTTTGAAAATTTCTGTTTTTTGCTGCACTACTTTTACTCTTTTGCCTATTGCTTACCCAATGTAGAGAAAGTTTTGTAATGCTGCGGGGAGAAACACAGATTGTTTGACAGGAAAACTCCTATTACTAGGGAAAGCATATTTTTGCTCTGAAAATCTCAAAATATGCTTTTAAAAATGTGCATTTATGACTTAAAAATTCTGAAATATGCACTTGCAATTGAAATTAATAATATTTCATTTCCTGTGTAAATATTTTCTCATACAATTTCAGGAGTGGCATGATTGGAATGAAAAGATGTTTGTGCTAACAAAATATAATCTGCTTAACTTTTCGGGAGAAATATTTGAAGTAATTATTCACCTTAGTGAAGTACATTGTTTGTCTTGTTGCGTTTCTTCTGCCTGTATTGAAAATGATAAAGAAAAAAACAATAGCATAACGTCAATATGTTTTCAACGTACAATTTCACAGTTTTCTACAATTTCAGTGAACCTGTGCAGAATGTTAAAAATACACGCACGTTGTCAAACGTAAAGTCTAGCGACTTTCCACCATCCTGGTCTTGAACATGAGTTCTATGAAGAGATGTAACGTTTTAGAGAGAGGTGTGTTTTAACTAAATATTCGAAATACCCACCTATAATTACATGAAAAAGCACCATCAGGAACACATAATATTATGTGAATTATAGGTGTATAATAGTACACATACAATAGACTTATAGACTACAATTCACTTACAATAATGCCACAATCCCGATTTTGTTTAACTCTTTGAATTTTCGAAAACTGCAAAGATTTAATTTTTTCGAGGTTTTCCTTCAATTACAGTATTGAAAATAACGTTTCTAAAAATGAAATAAGTTCTTCAAAATTAGATCTTTAAATGTTATCATGGACACATTCACAAAAATAGTAGTTTTCGAGACTTTTGCGTGAAATAAAGGGAATTTTAAAAACAAGATTTTCTCAAACAACTGCTCCATTTTTTATTTAATTTTTTAAATCGGATAGATGAATTCTCTGAATTTTCAAAAATTGCAAAAGTTAGAAATAATGAAGAAGGACTGGACTGTTGAAGGCAGCGTTAGATTCTATTTTTTTTTTCCAAATGGAACAAAGCGCGCCTAAGAAACTCGGCCATGTACAATTTTTTATGAAATCATTTAGTTTTCGAAAATTGGAATCAAATATCATTGCAAATCTATAATATTGGTGAAAGTAAGTTTTCTTAATGAAGTGTTTTTAAAATGTGATTTTCGAATAAAGTCATATAATTTTTTTTGAAAATTTATTTTTTCAAGTTATCAACTCTATGGATAAGTAATTGATGACGGTTTTATCGACAGCTGCCTTCCTTAACACATTGGCGGTGAAGATATACATGATGGCAGTTCTGACCCTCGCGAAGATGTAAGATACATGCTTTAATAAAGGTTGCGATTGTGTGAAGAGAAAATTATGTAAGAGAAATAGGTTACATGGGAAAATATTTGGAAAGTTATTACAGGTATATGACCGTTATTTTTGGGCTAGGCCTCGTTTTTTTCATTTACCAAAAAGTTTGCAGAAGTAGTTTTTGACAGTAAAGTTACACATATCTAATATTTGAAAGTTAAGTCAATAAATGTTGGGTCGTATTTTAATATTTTCCAATTATAATTATTTTTATATGAAAGTTAATTAATGAAATTGGAAAGTAAATTCTCCCTAAATTCGCTATTCAAATTTCCCGCTTTGCGTAGCTTTGCTCCTTTGCGTTTATTCTGCTCTCTGGTGGATCAGACTGGAAATGCAGCTTCTAGTGAATGCCGCTTGGCGCGCTAGCAGCATCGAACTCGAGCACCCGCCTCTCACGGCTGAGTCACTCGCCAATGGTGGCAGAAGGCGGACGTGGAAGCGTAGTGTGAGTGATTTCGCGTGTTTAGCAAGCAAATCTTCAATCATGTGACTCGTAACAACATTCTTCCGCGTGGTCGCAGTTTTGAATCGTCCCCTCCGTAGTTGTCAACATATTGTACGAGTTTAAGCGAGTGTTTTATCGATTCGTTCGGTGGCAGTTGTGTAAGGTGACGTATTGTAATACTGGAATGTGTTACGGAGCTGCCCTCAGTGCGGAAAATTTGGAGGGAACTGTTTTCGAGGAATGTATTTCTGAAGAGCGTGTGTTGTGAATGTATATTGTATCTTCGACCCACATCATTGAACATTGTGAAATAGTATCCTTTGACAGTGATCGGAATGAAAGACCGTTTCTCTCAGCTTCGATCCGCTTAATGATTCCTTTTGGGTGCTAAATGAAGATTGGCGCTCTTGTGACGTTCCTCTGGATTATGCAGAAGCTGTGGCCTGCATCTCCGAAGAGCCTTCAAGTATGAGCCGGGGGTACTACGTACCCTGTGCGCCGTTTCTTTATCTGGTAAGTTAACCTAACGGCATTTGCATTGTTAGTTTGGTCTGTGCCCTTTTTAACGAATTTCTTGGAAGTGTCTTCGGATTGTGAATGTCTATATGCGACGGGTTGGTGGCGCATGCTTGCCATGCCAATGTCTTATCACTTGTCCCTCCAGAGGCTATCTAGGGATTCAGGCGGCGCCCATGGCAAACATATTTGCGCGTCTGTCAGGATACTTCAAATTAGGGTAGTTTTGTTGTAGTGGATATACTCTAAATAGCTCTCCTTTTTAGTGGCGCCCATGGCACGTGCCGTGTCTGCGTTACTGTAGATATGGTGTGTCCCTCCAACGCATGCGCGGCGGACCTATTTGCCTTTTTCGAACTTCCGCTTTTACGAAAGTTAAATGATTTCGTTGCTTAAGGGATTTTGTTGTAGATTTTTAATTTGTCTGAGAGTGAAAAAATAGCTCGTTCTCTTTGAGCTATCGGCGCGCTAAAAAATCCATGGCTTCTGGAAATCTTTTCACTAAAGCAAGTAAGCTCAGAAATGTTTTAACCTAAAATAGGCTGCCAAAATGGTATTTATTTTTACTAAAATGGGCGTGCCAAAAGGCATTTATTCCGGTTAAAGTAGGGGGGGGGGAAGGCATTGAAACAAGGAACATGTAAAAGGAAAAATGATATTTTCTTTGTAATCTTGATTGCATATAAGCAACTGATTTTTTGCACAGTGTATCATAAATATTATTTTTGGGTTTGTCCTGAAAATACTTGTAATGGGAATTTAAATTTTGCTTTGATAACAACGAATTTGTTTCACCCGCGGCGCTACGAAATGCTCTAGTGAATTTCCTGTTTTTGTTCATGGCATTTGTGTAAAAGCCAGAACTAGAACGATCGCATATGTCACGTGCATAGAGCTTTGACGTCTGTAGGAACTGGAGGTGAGGTAATACCCAGAGGAAGTATCGGATTTTTCGTGACCAATCAAAGCCTGTACGCAATAATGAAATATATCCAAAACTCTTGACTTATCATCTACCTTTCGCATGTAGATTTTAACATTACCTGATTTCCGATACCTGCTACCGATTTCAGAGAAAGACAACACGTGTCAGTGTTGGCCAAGGTTGCGAGTATGTTTTCAACTTGATCGAGATTGGTGCCAGGAGAAAAAGGGGGAAATACCAAAAATAGGAAGCCAAAATGGCGAAGTGAAAATATTAACTGCTGTTAAGCGATTCTATTTGTTTGACGACCATCCGCGATATTGTGATGTTTCTTATTATATGGGATCGAATTACTTAATAATTTTTGCCCTATGAATGCACTCTTGCAAATTGCATTCATAATTCAACTTCATCTGTTCCAACGGATCCTACAGAACAAGGAAATGTGAACGGATTGCACTTCTCCACAGTATGTCACACACAGTTTTTACCTTCAAATACGTGGGGCTCGCCGATGTTTGGTTTGCGAAATAAAAGTAATAATAATACATGATATATATTCTACGGTAATTTGTTTAGTGTGCTATGACAGGAAGTTTGTTAAAACCGTAGCATTTTGAAAATAAGTATGACTGTCATTTATATCAATAAGTGTGAGCTCTTTATCTTGTAAAACACAGAAGGTAAATATGAGAACCCACATTATTATTATTATTATTATTATTATTATTATTCAAAATGTTTCGTCCATGTATGTACAATAAATGGATTTAAAGAATATTGTGGGATAGATAAATTCATTATTTAATCCCTCACATACTTTCAAATTGTATTACCTTCTGTTCATTTTCAGCCTTGTAATACAGGGCTAATCTTTCTTTGGATGTGAATTGTTAGCTTCATCATATACACCTCATTAACCTGTGTATCTCATTAAATGTTTGTTCTTCATCGAAATGCTCGTAAATCGAACACAATGTAGGATTGATTGCTAGTTTCTGTTCTTTCACCACGCTTTGAAAGAATTTAATTGAAGTCTTTATTAATATACGCGCGACGTTTTAACTTCGGGATCCCTACTTGTAAACCGTTTCCAACATTAATGTAACAATTAAAGCAACGAGCATTGGTGACTTTCTGTATCTAGAACTAGCGTTCCACATGTACATCCGTATGTACATCCAAAAATAAGTTATAGATATAGTACAGTCTAGTAACTAAATCTGTTACTTCTCTCGCATCTAACAAAATGAGAGCTCTAGAAAATTATAATTTACAATTTTCAAAGTAATCATTATGGAGAAGACACACCCGTTAAAATAATATTTGCATGATCAGAGAACCCATCATGGCAGTGTTTTAATTTTTTATATTTAAATTATTATTTTTGTTTGTGTTTTTTGTAGAAATGTGGCGTTTTAAAAGTGGATTGAGTTAAGAAAGTAACTCGAGTTAAAAATGCTCCTCTATTTGCTACCTCCCTCAGGTTGATGAAAGAAATGGAAAGATCATCGAAAAGCAAAATGTAGGATTCAGCCATGGCCAAGGCCACCGGTCGCTGTGCGAGAATTGGAGCATCAGCTCCTAGCTGTGGAATCCCAGAATGCCGTGAGCGTCTCGGTGCGTTTCGTTGTAGGCCCTAGCATGTGAAGAAGAACGTGCAGTTGTATGTACACACACGAGTCCCTGTTTTTGTTTGTAGAGACATAGATCACGCGTGAGGCGAAGGCCAGTACAGTCCGCCACACAAGTTTATCACGCGATTGCAAAGACGTTTCACTACCCAGTGGGTGTATTTGGAATTAGAACGTTTGTCTGATCCGTTCTTGTAGCGTATTTCCAGATATTGCGCGTTTGGAAGGCCATTATTTAGTTATGGAATCAGCAAGCTATTTCATTGAATTGATGATGCAGTGAACCTAAAGCCGTAACATTGAATTTAGAACCAGATGTGTAAATATAAATACGTGTTCTTATTACACGGTATTAGCAGATTGATTGAAACATAGTGCGAATTGAGGTTTGATCTGCTGCTTCGCGGTTATCCGATCGAGAGCTTAAATTAAAAAAAAGAAAGTATAACAAATCTTTGTTGGATAAGCGTTTCCCTGCCAGTTTTCTGTGTTTACCGGCGTTCACTCGCCCTCTTCAATGTGCGGTCGATGAAATTGGCCTGGGCGGAGTTGCCCTTGAAAAATAACGTCTCTAATTTTTATTCTGATAACCAAATGTTTCTATTTACTTGCATTGTCGTATCAGACGTGTAGTCATCACAACACACGTAAATGGGGTCTCATGGCGTTTATTTCATTAAAATACCAATTAAAACGTTAGAAAACAAGTTTATAAGATGGTACATCAGTTCATACTTTTTTAGAATAATAAAATGTATTCAGTATGTTTGGCAGAAAATAAATTGAATTTGTAGCATGTGAACGAACTTTAATTATTCAATATGGGAAATTGTGAATTTACTGCACTGATAGAGAACTGAATGTCTGAGAGATTTCATTATTTAGGCTTGCTCAGTCAGTTCCAGGAAATAATTCGTGTATGGATTATTAGCCAGTTCACGACTTCTTTATAATCTTCGCTTTAATTTAAGAACCTTTATGAATTTCAGAAAAAACTATTGTTTTCTTCTTAGTGGAATGTATGTGATTAAATGAGTATTTTCATTTCAATAAATAAGGTTATTATTTTCTCGAGTTTTTGTCATCAAATCATTGTTAGTGCAGTCCCATTAAATGAAGCTTTTTTTTTTTGTTTTAAATCATTTTTTTTTTTTTTTTTTTTTTTTTTCGAACCAATTGCATACATTATGAAGTATTTTATGCCAGTATTTCTATGTCTGGATACATCGTGAAGCTATAATCGGTGTTGATCACGAAATGAATGAATAAATGTTAAGACATACCTTATTGACTTTTTAATTATTATTATCACTATTATTATTATTATTATTATTATTATTTTACAAGATGCCAAGAAATAATATATGAACTGTTTAGGAGTAAATGGATTTCCGGGCGAAGTAAGGTGTTGAATTTTTTTAAACTCGTAATTGCCGTTCCGTGAAGTCATTCGTTTCGTAATGGTTTTTCTTTTATCTTTAAGTTCACAATAATTAGCGATTTTCGTCGATGTCAAAGTTGTTCACATCTCTGAAATGTAGTTGAAATCCTGGGAGATAATCCACTGCCCCGCCTGGGCTGTTTCTCGGTCGGTCGTCGCAAAACGCGCCCCGAGCTTCCAAATGCACGCGGGCGGGGGAGGAGACCCCGTGCCCCATGGCTGTTCGCGCGCGCGCGCGTGTGGGGGTGGGGGGTTGCGGAGCACCCACTGCGTGCCTGCGCCGGCGCCGTTGGAGGTGGCTGCGCGCAGTGTGCGTGCTGGGCACGCGTGCGGGCGTGCTGGTGGATCGATGCGACGCCCCCCGCGCCGCGCCGCGCCGCGCCGCCTCCGTTTCAGCCCGAGACATCGATTGCTCGCGCGCCGCCAGCGGCGGGCGGCGGTCGTGCCCATTCCCGCAATACCTCTATCGCACCACGTGAATGTTTCCCTAGCTTCAATTCTACTCGTTAATTCTCATGGTTCGTGTGCTAGTCAAGTAACAGAGGTCGGTCTGGAAAGCCGAGATCGCTAAGGCTGAAGGGTTGTAGTTCGTCTGGTCTGGGTTCGGATCCCGCCTCGGGCGTGGATGTTTGTTTTTGTCCTTACGTGTACCCTCTACAGTTACCAGTTAAAAATTTAAAGAAACAATCGCTGTGGTCGCTATATGACCTAGAAGTTAGTGAACAACCTAAAATAAAATTAATTTAAAAAAGCAAGATGGACGCTTCGTATCTTTTTCATAAACCTGTAATTTGAGTGTTCATTGTCAGTTTGCTAAGAAACAATTCTATTAAATTGTTTTTTTACATTGTAATTCTGTTACACGGGAAGAAAACAAAAAGGATTCTTCCAGTAGTGTGAACTTTTTTTTATTTCTGGAGGGTTACACTGTCGTAAAGTAGAAATATTTTTGTTGCTATTATTGTTGCGAAAAAAAGGTATTCCTTTTTTATTTATA